ACACACAGGGCTTAAATACACACACCAGTAATCAGGGGATGAGAGACAGGAGGGCAACACAGCTGGGAGGAATCAGAGCTGACGGGACAGGGGAAACGTAAACTGAACACACTCACATCAGACAGAGACCTTCACAATAAAACAGGAAACTCAGACACGGGGAACCAAACAAGACACAGAACTAAACAGACAGATTCACAAACAGACGGGGTGACAGCATAGACAGAGACACAGACGCAGAGGCAGACCAAATATAACACATAGAACTCAAACAATAATAATCATCATCATCATCATCATCATCATAATAATAAACTAAAAGCGCTGGGTCACCAACCCAGGACCATGACAATTTGTGTTTGTGGCAGTAATGTGACAAAATGTGGAAAAGAGGGACGAATACTTTGCAAGCCACTGCAAGTACACAGAGAGATAATGAGGGGATGAGGAACAGCTGGGAAAGGGAAACAAAACTAGACTCACTGCATATAGGACAAAGACTTTCCCAATAAAACAGACATCACAAGGGTAATCTAATAAACAAATGAACTTAGCAAACCTAAAGAACTTATAAATAAACATCGACATCTAAACAAACTAAAACTTACAACGCTGGGTCAACAGACCCAGGAAAGTGACAGTAAAATCATTTATTATACACATTATACTTATTTTCTTAAATTGCTTATCTATTATCTGTATTTTAACTTGGGGTCTAGGGGTGCTGCATGTTTATGATAACACACTGACAATATCAGGACAATTTTAGCCTTACTCTATCAGTGAACAGCATGCCCATGCTAACTTAAACTAGACCGGCAAGCTAACCCATGTGTATTAAGTGTTACTTCAGAATAGGAACCAAACAAATTACGGAACGAATTACTGTAACAGAGTTTGCAAACATTGTGACAGTTCTCAAGTGTTCCTACCTCAAATCCAGCACGTGTTGCTGTGTTTTTGTTGTTAAATGGACGAGGAGAGACCGGTGGCTGGTGAGAGGATGCAGCATTTCGTCAGTGGAGCATAGAACGACGTTCTGATTGGTCAAAAAGTGAGTAAAGATGCATCTGATTGTTCGAAAGCGTCAACCAAAGAGCTGCTGGTCACGGCAAGATACAAACTCGCGGAGCTCTGCGTGAACGGCACATCGGGACCTTCAGCACTCAGGAGAGATTTATTTGAGGTATGTATTTACCTTTGATATCCATGCGTCGACGCAAGCTCCGTGAGGTAAAGTTGTATGTTTAACAGCTATTAAGTTGTTAAACGGAATTAAAACAATACACAACCGATTTGAACAAATTGAAAGTGGTGAATGATGATAATGCTAAAAATTACTTAAGATTATCTTTAACAATAGATATAGAAGTTAAATTTAACTGTTTTTAAATTCCCACCGGAGTTAAAGGGACCTGCGGCCTTGCATGTGCTCTGCATCTTCAACTGCAGAGACAGTCAGTCTAAGCTCAGTGTAGCTAACGCAACCACTTTTTTTTTTCAACACAAGATGCTTGGGGGGATTTAAATGATAATATTAATGTTTTCTTATTCAGCACAAATCAATAATATTATAGTTATTGCTCACGGTCTGGGTCTCTGGCCCAGCGTTTCTGATGTTATTCTAAGGTTTTTGAGTTTCGTATGTTAATGGCGGGTTAGTTGAGTTTGGCTTAACGTTATTAATATCGTTTTAAGGAGTTTATGTTAGGGCTGTATATTACCACGTTTGTATTTTCATGCCATGTTTCCTGTTTTATTTTGAAAGAGTCTGTTGCGTTCAGTTCATTAATCTCACTTCCCTGTTGTGTCAATAGAATCATTTGTGCAAGCTACTACCCTGCTGTCCCTCTGTCGTGTCTCAACCTCCAACAGGAAAGTAGAAGTCCTCATATGGTAGGACCAGTGATTGTAGTGTGTGTGTTACACTGTCCTCATATTGTTTTAAGCTGTGAAGGACAGGAGTGTGTTTCAGTTGCCTTCCTCATGTGGTAGACCAACAACTCTAGTGTGTGTTACACTGTCCTCATATCGTTGGGTAGCAGAACCGTACAGTGTTAAGTTTCTATAGAATCTGGTATAAGGAAGTCAGATCCTTCTGTAATAATATTCACTGATACAAATATGATCTGTAGTTAATTAAATAGTCGGGATTTATACTAGAGAATGTTTCTGACGTTATATTGTTGTCTTTTGTTGCAGACACCAAGTGCCGAGGTCCTGTCTCAACCTCCTTCAGACCAATTGGTGAGTGACACACCCACTTCATTCTTCCAACAGGTTACACATTATTTTTTGTATTTGGCATCAAGTATTTGTGTCAGTTGGGCCTAGTGCATAAATGAAGTGCCCTTTTATTATATTAAAATAATCAGTTTGATTGAAAGTTTCCCATATTCAACATTAGCATTACTTGTTTGTGAACATCTTAGGAGAAAGAAATTGGCATATCATTTGTTAGTCCTAACTTTCCCTTTAAAGCATCAGCTTGATCTTTATTCCTACTAAATTTGATATTTCTGTGTTACATTGTCCTCAGATTGTTTTAAGCTGTGAAGGACATAAATTTGTTTTTTTTTTAGCCTTTCTCAATTGGTAGAACCAACAACTCTAGTTTGTGTTACATTGAAACTGAACAGCAGGGATGTTTGTCATGAAGATAATAACACTCTATCCGATTTCAAACAATCACACTGTGATGAGTATTATTAGTAGATTATGTTCACATGTAAAATATTCATATCAAATGGTAAATATCCTATATTATATAGCGCTTTACTAGTCCCTAAAGACCCCAAAGCGCTTTACAAATCCAGTCATCCACCCATTCACACAGACATTCACACACTGGTGATGGCAGCTACATTGTAGCCACAGCCACCCTGGGGCGCACTGACAGAGGCGAGGCGGCCGGACACTGGCGCCACCGGGCCCTCTGACCACCACCAGTAGGCAACAGGTGAAGTGTCTTTCCAAGGACACAACGACCGAGACTGTCGGAGCTGGGGCTCGAACCGGCAACCTTCTGATTACAACTCTTGAGCCACGATCGCCCCTTAGCCCCTTAATGTAGAATTACACACTGCCCAACGCTGACTTTGCCTACAATGCAGAGAAAAAGCAACAGACCTATTGCATGCATTGATTCTCATATTTCACTGTTACTTTCAAAGGCTCAAGGACCAAGTATTCCGGGGGTTCCAAGCCACACGCTTTACTCAGCTGCCCTGGACAACATGAAGGGCACCTCTGCCTCAATCACCCTGGACAACAAAAACATTAGCAACACTTCACCAAGAAGGGGTAAAGGCACCCAAATACAAAATGTTTTAGGTTAATATACTTGTGATCAAAGAACAAGTTTGTTTTCAGACATGACACTATTCAGAGCTTTTATCATAAATCATTTCATCTTATTTGATTCCCAGCAGAACACAGCACTTCAAATGGTTCATTCCAAGCATCCTTAAAGGAGCAATAAGCAATATCTTTTCACTGCTAGGTGTGCTGTTTGCACTGCCTGTGAACCAAACCAAAGTCTATGGCTGGAGATCAACACAGAGAGAGGGATTGTGACTTCATGCTGTACTCCAGATGTAATTACACCTCTAGTTCTTCACATAGTCATTTTTAATTCCTTCAACCTAAGTATGATGAATTGTGCTTATTGCTCCTTTAAAGTGCTCCAGTAGAAAGCAAGGTTTAAGAACATTTTGTATTCACATTATAAACTAGAATATTTTCTATCTTTTCTTGCATTCACATTAAGATATTTTCTTTTGTTTCCATTTATGACAGCTGGGACGGTGAGAAGCAAGTGGACAAATGATGAAGTGAAGGTTGCTGAGCGGCACGTTTCACTTCATAAAAAGCTGCAAAGTACCAGGTAAAAAGGAATGTGACTGCTGCCTCCAAGCAGAGCCGGCAGCTCTGAAAGGCAGAGACTGGGTTTTCATAAGGTACTACAGCCACAACAGGATCATAGCATTAAAAGAAAGATGCAAGAAAAAAAGAAACAAGCAAGAGAGATACTTTGTTACTTCCACAGTTATGTCAGTATTGCAGTTTTCTGTATTGCATTGTTCTTACTCATAAATCTGTGGTTTATGCTGGGTGCTTTTTGCAATTAAATGATAAAAAAGGCAGATAATGTTCCACGTTTTTATTCACATGAACATTCACTACAAAATGAATTAATGCATTACAATATCAAGACTTAAAAAGTAGACTGACCACATTTGACCCATGTCTTTTTTTTTTTTAAAGTCTTTACACAGCTCAGATTTACTGTTTTATTAACACATAAATGTCTGATATTTCTGTCAGAAGTTACCCAACTGGTGAGCATTACTATTGTGCATCCATGTCTATTATATTGTAATCTCAAAAGGAGCCAAGCTAAAAATGCAGAACCTACCGTTACCTGGTCCTTATAAGTCATGTATACTTGAAAATTATGTGTTTCCATGGGCTTCACAATTCACCTAAACATGAAATATCTGTGTGTGACCTTATGGTACTCATAAGTCACATAAACCTGACAGTGTCCTCACAAGTAGCATTAAATTCAGGTTTGACCAAATTTAGCCCTAGCCAAATCTCAACAGATGGGTGTGTTCTTGGAAGCATGGGTCAAATTTTTTTGAGATTCCCATGCCTCTAGGACCTTCGGAAAGGCACGTTCCCATTTGTCACATTTTTGTCATACGTACTGATATATCACGAAAACACGTGTGTGTGTGTGTGTGTGTGTGTGGGTGTGTGTGTGTGTGTGTGTGTGTGTGGTGTGTGTGTGTGTTACTGCTAATCAAAGGGTCCTATACGCACAAAGGCACACAACAAACATCCTTGGTCAGGAAGAGAGTAGACCCCCCTCATCCTAGATAACACCGTGAGGAAGTCCAGCAGTTCATTTATAAACAAAAGCACTTAGACTAGAACAGACGCAACTACGTTAATCCTACCGTAAAACAATAAGACAAGGCACGAACTCTCGTGCCCTCAGTGTGCTCTCTAATACAAACAAAGTTTGCAGACTATTAAGTATGATCAAACCTCTACCAATCTAAAACTAATTATAAACTCTAAGCATATATAAGTAAATATTTCTAAGCATAAATGACAATCAAAAATACAAACTCTAACACTTGTACTCTGGGGCCTCTGGATATCTGGGGCCTGGATCTCCTCCATGCCTGCTTCATACCCTGGAGGACGGGGCTGTGGCTCCCCACACTCCCTAGCAGATCGTTACATGGAGAAACCTTTGGAATAGAAGCATGCTGATCCACACAGGTATGCACACAGGTGTACACACGGGTGTTCACAGACGCGGACTACACCTTTCTTGGCTGCTGCCTCAAAGCACATTGTGCGCTGTCTATCTTGCGTGCTGCACAATATCGTTTATTATTTAGTATCTACTGTTATCTACTTCTAGCTAGTTTATTGTGATGGTGCTGTTTTTATTTATTATGTTGCTCTTTGTTGTTTGCTTTCTCTTCTGTTTTTTTCTCCATACAGGTGACCCAGGTGTTTTGTTTGTTTTTCTTTTTTTCTTTTTTTTCTTTTTTTTTTTCTTTCTTCCCCCTTCTCACATCTCTTCTCCCCTTTGGTTTTTATTTCTCTCCCTCTCTTTCTTTCATTCTTTCTCCCTGTCCTATCCCCAGTCATGTCTGTCCCGTTTGTAGCAACTGAAAATAAAATAAATTCATAATTATAATAAAGGTCAATCAAATGGACCAATATGGCAAGGCCATGATGATCCACTTGGTAAAATAAATCCGCTTGGCATCTTTCTTGGCCTTAAGACAACAATTCTGATGGCTAAAGATCCAAACGGGACACAAAAAAAGAAAAAGAAAAAGAAAAAAAAGAATTTGTTCTCTGTGCATGTTCACGGGTGATGGGCAACGTAGGTATAAGTATGCAGTAAAGGTGATGCTGATATAAGAATGAGCAGAATGTCAAAGATATGCCCATAAAAGTTTGTATTTTAAATGTCCTTTCTTCTTCTTTCAGTCTTCTGACACATCAAATTTGATGGAAAATCACCATTAACCGTAAGTGACATTTTCAGATGAAAAGTAACAAATGTGAAAGGATTTAATTAATTAATTTCACTCTAGGTCCAGCTCTTGGGATCAATTTCTCGATTTCTTGGGATCAATTTCTCGATTTGATCATCAAGATGATACATACTTTCCTCATCAGTTCAGTAGGAATAAAGATTATTCATAAAATTAGTTCAGAAATACTTTTTTAAAGGAGTTCTGCATTGGTGTATGAATTAAATGCATGTTAATTCTCTTTGTTTTAAACAAGGTGTTAACAGTTTACTCTTGCTTACACATTTTATGTATTAAGTATAAAATCCACAAGTGATATTTTACTCTCTAAACATGGACAACATTTAGGCTGACCATGTTATAGTACGGAACAACATTTTAAGCTCTATTAGTAGCTCTTATGTTTCATAGTTAGCGTTACATAAGTATATATATATGTACCCACAATAAATGAAACATGTTAAACAAAACAAATGTAACAATTCACCTTCAAATGTCTCTGTTTTTTCACTTAGTTTCCATTCAGTCAGTTTTCTTTGCACAAAATCACCCATGACCAAAAATCGAAACTGAAGATAAATTGTAATTTCCATTAAACCATTCCTCCTTTATATACTAGACCTTTCAACTCCCTAAACTGATCAGTAGAGCAGTTACATATATGGAAAGATTCATCAGAACAAAAAAATTTTGTGTGTGCTCATCTGCTTTTAAAGTTAATGCGAAAATGGTCAGTTATGGAGGATGAAGTTAGCAGGCAAAAGGAGAAGTCCAACAATAAGCAGGATTACAAAGAATAATAAGATTCAGATTAAACAGAAAATAAAAAGACAGACGTGAATGAGTCTGATGACGAGTGTATGAGAGGGACTGGATGTTTGTTAAATGTAGAAACTGTCTCGGTTCATTGTTGTCTGTATGTCAATTAGTTAAAGGGTTAAGTAGAAAGGAAAGGAAAACAAAAAACGTTTTAAAATAAATAATAATATATTAAATAATAATAATAAATAAGAAAAAGTAAAATCACTTACAACAACTTCTGCTAGTATATGTATTTTGCACTATGTAAGAGTGGTCCCCTCACATCACTGACACAGGACGTATTCTGGGTTTTTTTTTCTACAGTCTCATTTATTTAGTGTCTTAGTATAATATTTACATTTTGAACACAACAATCAAACTCCAAACACTCCAGTTCATTTCTGAAGCACTGTGTTTTTACCCAGGTAATTCTATTAATAATGTTTTTTTTTTTTAGCAACTTGAGTTTAGATGTGTGGAGTTAGATATGTTACAGAAAGTGTTGAAAGTAATGCACATACCAGAGAGTGATGCAAAGTGCACCCCGAGAAGTTTTTTTTTTTAAGTATAATAAACAGGTTTCTCATTTGCATAGGGAAAAAGCTGTAGATATCCTGGAGTAGGTACAAGTAATTTGCACGCTAGTTTGACTAGCCACACCCAATTCTTCTCAAAACAAATGACCTCTTGTACAACCATCACAGCCACCATTTATCTTGCATGCAAATGAATTATTATGTGTGCAAATGATTTGTACTTGTCCTATTCTGGGATATCAACAGCGGCTCTTTGTTCATGCAAATAAGAAACGTGTTTATCCCAAAAATACTAATAATTTCTTTCACTTTGCTGATATGTGTATTTCTTTTAACAACATGTTAAAACGACCAAGGTTGTAAAAAAAAAAAAAGTGTTTTCATCTTAAACCTAAAATAAATACAAATACTTTTATTGAGGTTTCAAGGTTTTCATGGACCATGTGAAGGTCATTTTTGGAAAGTTATTCTTGTTGCAGAATGTGAATGCTACCTGACAAAAATAAATGTTGGAGAAATGGAGGCTGAATAATGGACAGCAGAATACTAACATCATAAAATCAAAGGAAAGCTCACCACTCGGATGATTTCCAAGTTTCCATCATTTCTGATGGAGGCTTTAACATGTGAAGATGGGTGCCTATTTGTGAAATCTACATATTAGTCTTTCATGGAGTTCTCTGCATTACACCAAAGACACATACATCAACTAAAAGTGAGTGCAAATATTCTGGTACAAATCCAAACACAATGTCAAACAAAGGAAGTCTGGAAAGCAAGGACACTCCTTTTATTCCATCCTTCACGACCTAAAACTTCTCCACCTGCATAAGATTTTTTTTATTTTATTTTTATTTAACTGTTATTTAACCAAGATCCCATTGAGATTAAAAACCTCTTTTCAAGGGAGACCTTGCCAAGTAGGCATGGGTATCGTTTAGGTTTTATCCGATACCGGTGCCAAATCGGTACTTTTGAAACTGTGCCGGTGCTCAAACGGTGCTCAAACCGGTGCTTAAAGAATGGAGAACACAAAATTGGTCCAAAAACATATTTGCATGGGCAAACAGCTTCTTTGATTCCCTGAAATATAAAGTACAAATGATTTGGGAACATGTCCTCCATCTCCTTTTCCCAACCACATTAAAGCCAATGTCCTGTTCCACCCACTGCACACAAAGCAAACAACCCCATGCAAACAAAACACACCATATTTACTCAGAAGAAAAATTAAGCTTGAACCATTTGCTGAACACAGGCCATCTGAAAAGCAAGAAAACTAAAAGCAAAATAAACAATCTGACCACTAATGAGCTTTAATAATTGATAAATCGCCAAGAGACCTAATATAAATCCTCGCTGTGAAGGAGATATTATTACAAATAATTAGCAAATAATACCAGGTGTTCAAGTTACCACACCTGACAGCATATGATAGGTTTCGTTTTGCCTGAATCGCAGAGGCGTGTATTACAGTCTGGCTGGGATGCATACACTGTGGTTTTGCTTGAATTTGTTCTCTGTGCATGTTCACGGGTGATGGGCAACGTAGGTATAAGTATGCAGTAAAGGTGATGCTGATATAAGAATGAGCAGAATGTCAAAGATATGCCCATAAAAGTTTGTATTTTAAATGTCCTTTCTTCTTCTTTCAGTCTTCTGACACATCAAATTTGATGTAAAATAAACATGTTAATATATATTCTGTGTGTGCATGTGTGTCTCCACATGTATGTTTTC